AATTAAATAATTACTAATACTATAAGAATTTTTACGATTTTTAAAATATAGCTTAACATTATTTTAGTGTACGTAAAAGAAACTAATATTAAACAAATACGTACTCTCTAGTGACTTAAAAGATACATATAACAACTATTGACGTCTTCTAGTTTACACATTAGTATTACATTAGATTATAGTATGTTTTAATTTGTTTAGAGAATTTTAAATAAACTTATATATATACAATATACAAAATTGTAGTATAACTTGTAATACTTTCAAGTTTTTTTTTTTTTTGAAATATGTCAATAGAATATTATACTGGCTCACATAAAAGTAAAAATGGAATTACTCTCGTCGCAATTTGTTTGTCGTAAGTTTGACCAAAATCTAAATAAAGACTAAAGAGACATAAATTAAGTATGGATAGAGTACCAAAATGATTCTATCATACTAACTGGAAAATAGGAACACAAGACTTATATAATTTGTAAATATATAGATATGTCCGTTTTTAGATGAACAAAAAAGAAAAGAAAATGGAGATAAAGATTATCAATCTTAAACATATCAATATTATGCCTTGACAGTCTAAATTGCTCGGATTTAGGTGCGGGTGTCCTATACGGGTGCGGATCTAGAGGTCAGATCCTTCATGATCTAAATTTTAAGATTCGGGGGTACAAATCCATTTCGGGTGCAGGAATTTGGCTAAAAATAATTCAAATATTTAAAAATAAAGTTACAAAAAATATGTCTAAGGTATGAGACATTATGTGGAAAACTTACAAGGTATTCCGAAAAAGAGTAGAATCCGAGAGGGAGATAAAACGAAAAGGACTGACATAGAAATTTCTATATACAAGGTATTCTATTTTCTTAAATATCACCCTAGCTTTTCTTTTGTTTTCAAAAATCATTGTATCTGTTCTAAATTTCTCTGTTGATTTTGGTTAAACTACCCAAAATCGGTTGATCAAATCTAGCACGGATTCCACATCCACATCCACGTCGTGTCGACACGGGTGCGGCACCAAACTGAAGAGTCCGAACAACTTAGTTGGCAGTATATGATATTATTGAAGAATTATTGTATGTAAAGGATAGATACCATGAATATCTAAAATAGTTTGATAAAAAATGATCTTTAACTATTTCTGAGTTTCTGTATATCCAAACAAAATTTCTTCTCGCCAAATATAACAATAAACTGCCAAATGCCTCATAAATCATTTGTTGCTTATATATAGTTATAAAAAAAAAAAAAACACTCAAGGACATTTGTTCATAATACTGAACAATTGTAGGAAATGTGTTTTAGCCATAATTTGCATAAACAAGAATATACAGTTTTATAGATTCTCATAGAAAGTAACAAAAGGAGTGAACCAAACAATCCCTAAAATACTAACTAATGTTCATAAGATTTATTAAATAGCATATTAGGCACAAAGTTGCTATTGTATGTTACATCACAGTAACTGTAAACATATTAAATGGTAGCTTATACTTTTTTTTTATAAGGTTAAAATGGTAGCTTATGCAGTTGATGTGCCTTAAGTGAGCAAGTTCCAAGGATCCTCTGGCTTTGGAAGGGATGGACAAACAAAAGAATAACTTGAGAAAGTAGTTTAGTCTGGGGAAAATGCAACACGAGTAAAGAGAGCATGAGGAAAATAAATTTTAAGAATGTTACGCTATCTCTATTTTGGAATGTTATTGATGCACTTAACCTTGACAATCTTTCGAGTAAAAGTGCTTTGTTTGGTGGATGGAGAGCAAAAACATCTATTGGTTACATTTGTGAAACCATGATATGGTCAAAATAAGCAATTCAAGCGGCCTTTAATAACTACTATTACAAATGGTAGAATTTTTAAACTCATTGATAAGGTGTGATCAGAGCAACACCATAAATATTTGCGTGCAGCTATATATTTTGAACTAGTGGTTTTTAAGCAAGTGGAGAAATTTGGGAGAAACTCTTAAAACTATCATGGGGTCATACTTTTCTGAATAACCATGGCATTAGGCAAATAAATAGAGATACCCTTGATCTGTTAGGCAGTAGCGTGGCTCGGGCTGTTAGATAGCAGCATGGTGCGGTCTGTTAGACAGCAAGCTGCCGTGTTTGTATGGGTTGTGAATATCCTAGGATCAAGCTGATAAAGCAGCCTGAACATAGTGGTTACGAGTTATGCTCTTCATGTGTGATCTAGATGGATGACCTTTCTTGGCATATTATGGGTATGCTTTTCTTCGGAATCTAATTTTGATTGACTAGAGCGTCTTTATCTTATGTGGGATTTTCTACCTGGTATTGAAGCATATTACCTTATGGAAGTCTATTGATTTTGCCTTGCTGTATTGTTTGACATGTTAGTCTTGCTCTAACTGCTTCTGAAACTTATTAATTTACATTCTTTTTGCAGAGGAAGAAGAAAAGAAGAGGAAAATGGCTGAAGAGGATGCAGGAAATGGTGGAGATGATATGGGTGTGCTGGTGCACCAGTAATTCAAAACATCGACAGAGCGATAAATGTGGCATTTTAGTGATGGATAAGGCTGTATGAGTATTATCCTTTGTTGCATATAAGTATTTGCCGGTTCTAGCACTGGGCAAAGCATGTATGCTTATGTGAACTCTGAAATATTAGTCAGTGTTGTAAAGATAATGAAGACAGATCTATAGTTGCCTTCTTGTTTCAGTTCTAAGATTTGTTCAAGTGAAGGAGCAATCTGCCTAGGTACCCCAGCTTGATTGTTTATTGCATTAATTAGGATTAAGGAATCAGACTCAACTTGAATCTCCTTATATCCATTTTGAATGCACCACTGCAGTCCCACCGAAATAGCTTTACACTAAGCCATATTGTTGCTGCAGTTACCAAAGAAAGTAGAGAAGGCCATAATACGATCACCATTCTAATTTCTTAGGCTCCCTCCTCCACCTGCCAGGCCTAAATTTCCTTTGCTGCATCAATAAGAGTTAAGCTTTAGTTGTGCATTAGGAGGCTTTGTCCATTTGACTGGGATGACCTTTAGCTGGGGTTTGCATCTTTCCACTGTCTGAGACAAGTGTTTCCACTCAAAAATATTTAGACAAAAGGGAGGGAAGAACTTCATGTCACGATCCAATTGCCATCAAGGTTGTGATAATACCTAATACACCGCCTATGCGAACCAACATTTACAATTACTCATAACAAGATAATATAAATAAAATCTAACTATCATAGATAGAAATCGGCAGAAACAAATCTGATCCAAACAAAACACGTCTAAACAATCCTGAGACTAGTGTCACAATATCATGAGCATCTATAACCAGAATACATCATAGTCTCAAAATACAAAAGTTACTATCTGGAATTAGAACAATAAAGAGGGCAGAGGGGAACTCCATAAGCTGCAAAACCAAACGTAGCAGCTCACCACAAAGTCTCTGGTATGTCAACAACTAAGTGGCCTCCTGGGGCCCAACGGTAGCAGGCTCAAGATCTGCAAAAAAAAAATGTATAGAAGCATAGTATGAGTATGAAATTAACGTGTACTTAGTAAGTATCAAGTCTAACCCGAACGAAGTAGTGGCGAGATTTTGACAAAAGATACTGACTTCTCATAACCTGTACAGATCATAAGTTTGCACCATAGCAAAGAAATAACTAAGAAACTTTGGATATATATAGCAAGGTGCATAATCAAATGAATATATAATGAGCATGCTTTCTAGATAATATGATCAAGCATAAATCAATGCACCAAATCCACATATAAAAAAAAAAAGATATTAAGAAATAGCGTTTATATGAATATTTTTAAATGAGTCTAGAATGTGTATGCATGATAAAGACTCAAACTTTACATCTCTTTTTTGTCAAGCATGCAGACCATGATGTTCTTACAAAATATATACTTTTAGTTTTATAACTAATTAAAGTAAAATATTATTAATTTAAAAAATATATGTCAGGTATTTTTATTAGTTACAAATATACGATTAGTAATTAATATATTTTCAAGAACTAATATATATCTTAGTGTCAAATTTAATATTATTTATAAAGGCATATATTTATTAAATCTTAACTTTTCATTTTCGATAACATTACTTTAAAATTCAATCTAACTGTGTAATTATACTTGTGCAATCAAACAGTACACTACTAATTACACTACAATTACATTACGACAAACAAACATGTCGTCATCGTTATTACAATACTATGTAGTTAGTAGGCTATATAATTACTATCCTAACAATTGCACCAATTTTAGTTACTTAGTAATTTTCCTAATATGCCCTTAAACTCTAGTGATTTGTACTTTAGCACTATTATGTAGTCCCTTCGTTTTAATTTATGTGAATCTGTTTGACTGAGCACGGAATTTAAGAAAAAATGAAGGTTTTTGAAATTTGTGGTCCTAAACAAGTTAGAAAGGGGTGCAGAATATTTGTGTGGCTATAAAAGTTTCTCATTAAGGTTAAAATTAAAAATTTAAACTAAATTATTATCAAATTTAAAAATAGATCATTCTTTTTAGACCGGACCATAAAAATAGGTTCACATAAACTGAACAGTAAAGTAAAGTTTTTGAAAAATGTGCATGAGTGGACCCTTCCTAGACAGCTTTCAGCTTTTCGGGCCAAGACTGAAGACACGTCGGCTGTTAATAGTTCTTGCATGTGCGCCACCTCGCCTATTATGCCAATCCAAATTGAGATTTGAGAATTAAAATAAAACCATGTCTGTCACTCCATTCTGTATCTTATCATTATTCAACAGGCAAATTGCGTTTAAAATATTATGTTTCCACACGATGGATTTATTGTATTTAAATTTTAAAGAGATTAAAAATTTGCTAAAGTTTTAAGTACATCTTTTCTTCATTTAAAAATACCAGTTGCTAACTTTTGTATAACATCTAAATATGTAAACTTTATGCTTTAAATTAAATATTAACAAGATAATTAAATATTAACAAGATTCGACCTTATCGAATACTATCAGTTCATCATGTTTTGTGAGTGTTATTTTCGAGGAGAAGGAACTTTTAGTCTTTTGTTCAGCTATTCATCAAACAACGAAAAATTATTGACTCTAGGGGAGGTCACTAAAGCAATTGCTTTAAGCCCCTCTAAATTGAAGGCCCCAATTTTATGAGTATTATTTAATACTACATATTATAAAAAAATTATTATTATTAAGAAGATACTAGATTTATGTCTTTTCTAAATGTGATAGAGCTCAAGTTACTTAGATGAATACTTGGATTTTATAATAAATACGCAATATGCAGAAAAGAACAATTTGATGATATTATTGACGATTAAAAAAATAAAAATAAGGTCTCTTGTAGTATCTTTAGAGTTGATATTTGTTAAAGTATAAAAGGGTAGTTTAGTCATTTCCTATTAAGTTGTTAAGTTAGTTAGTTTATTTAAACTAACTCTTTAATCTGGTGTAAACAGTTTTTTAGTTTTTGATTCTAATACAATATAGAATGCTCCGCCTACTTTCTCTCTCTACTCAAACTCTATACTTCATCTTCTTCATCTTCTTCATCTCCATATCAATTACATCTTCCTCTTAGCTGAATTATAACATGGTATCAGAGCTGTACAAGCTACGAAACTAAAGCTTGTAAATCGATCAAAAACTTAGTTGCAATTCTAGCGAAAATCTGGTCACTGAAGTTCAAGAATCCATGGCTATCACTGATGAAATAGAGGGCAAATCCTGCAAATCTAGGCACAGGAGAGCAGAGTACTCAAAATTCTGGAAACTCAATTGCAGGATTGGACTACAATCATCCATTGTTCTTGTCACCAGCCGATGTAAGTGGAATTCAAATAATTTCATTTCAATTGACAGGGATTGAAAACTATTCAATCTGGAATAGATCTATGAGAGTAGCATTGCTAGGAAGAAACAAATTAGGCATGGTCGATGGGACATGCAAGAAAGAAAACTTTCCAATAACCATGGGAAATCACTGGGAGAGAGTCAATGCAATTGTTTTGTCTTGGATAATGAATTCTGTGGCTAAGGGGCTGTTAGGAGGAATTATGTATGCCTCTAGTGCTCAAGCTGTTTGGGAAGATTTATTAGAAAGGTTTAATAAGATTGATGGGTCAAGAACCTTCAACCTACACAAAGAAATTGCAACTTTAACTCAAGGGACTGCCTCAGTCTCTGTATACTTCTCAAGACTGAAAGATTTGTGGAAAAAGTTTGAGGCATTAGTGCCTGCTCCTGGGTGTGATTGTGAAAAATCAAGAGATTTTGTGTTATATTTACAAAAATTAAAATTGTATCAGTTTTTGATGAGGCTAAATGAGTCATACTCACAGGCTAGAAGTCAGATTTTAATGCGAAGTCCATTACCTAAAGTGAATCAAGCATATGCAATGATAGTTAGTGATGAAAGCCAAAAATCAGTTGCAGCTATGTCTGGTGTGTTAGGAACTAATCCTAATGCAGTTCCTGGTAGTTATGATATGGCTATGTACTCAAGAAATGGTAATAATCAGCCTCAAAGATTCAAGAAAAATTACAACATACAATGTGACTTTTGCAAGCTTAAAGGACACAACAAAGAAAACTGCTACAAAATTGTAGGGTATCCTGCAGATTTCAAGTTCAAGAAGAAAAATTCTGGGGTTCACTATCCTAATCATAGTGCAAATGCAGTCAATGTACTCACAGATAACTCTCAGATGGATCAGAATACTCCTATGACATTCAACTATGGGATGAACACAAATGTGGTAGAGCAGAATGCAAGTAACAGTATCAATCAAAAGCCAAGTGCATATGGTCTGTCATGTGAGAATACTGCTGCAAATCAATTAGGAAACTACACTTTCACCAAGGATCAATATGATCAAATTGTACAGATGCTAAACAAGATTTCAATATCTTCATCAGACAACTCCACAACAAATTTAACAGGTACTCCTAAAGCTCTACTAGTCTCTGATGAATCTTATGATTGGATTATAGACACTGGAGCTACAAATCACATGGTTTCTGATATTAACATGTTAGATAAATCCTCAATAATTGAGATTGAAAAACCAAAAAAAGTCTTCTTATCAAATGGTGATATAACACAAGTCACACACATAGGTGCAAGTTCCTTATCAGATGAGAATACAATTTCTAATGTATTTCATGTACCACAATTCAAATTTAATCTATTATCTGTGTCTAAGGCTACTAAGGAACTAAAATGTTCAGCAACCTTTTTCCCTGATTTTGCTTCTTCCAGGATCTCTTCACTGGGAAGGTGAGGGAGATTGGTAAGGAAGAAGATGAGCTCTACATCTTACTAAGACAAATAATGGAGAAGAATAAATGGATTGCATTAGCAGCCTCAGAAGTTGAAAATCTAAACAAGCAGCTAGATGTGGATCTGTGGCATAAAAGAATTGGTCACATGTCTACTATAGGATTACAGAAAATTTTACATGTTAGCTTACCATTCATTAGAGAAAAGAACAGCAAATGCACTGTATGTCCTTGTGCTAAACAAACTAGGCTGCCTTTTCATTCTAGTAGCATTAAAAGTACCTATTGTTTTTACATGATACATACAGACTTGTGGGGACCTTACAAAGTGAATACATTTGATGGTAATAGATATTTTCTTACAATAGTTGATGATTACTCAAGAATGACTTGGATATTTCTACTTAAACAGAAATCTGATGTGTTTCTATCTTTATAGCATTTCCTTACTTATGTTAAAAACCAATTTGATAAGACAGTAAAAATTATAAGAACTGATAATGGCACAGAATTTATGAATTCAATGTGTGATAATTTGTTCAAGAACTTAGGGATTATTCATCACAGAACTTGTGTTTATACCCCTCAGCAAAATGGAGTGAGAGGAAACATAAACATATACTTGAAGTAACCAGAGCCCTTAGATTTCAAGCTCAAATTCCAATCAAATACTGGGGTCACTGTGTGTTAGCAGCAGTATATTTGATAAATAGGATGCCTAGTTCAGTCATAGCTAGGTAACATGACACCTTATAAAAAATTATATCAGAAAAAACCTTCTCTAGAACATCTTAGGGTGTTAGGTTGTTTATGCTTTGCAATGGTTGTGCAGTAACATGATAAACTTATGCCAAGAGCCAATAAGGCTATTCATATGGGATACTCAGATGTCCAAAAAGGATACATTTTATTTGATATTGCTAATCAGTCTTTCTTTGTTAGTAGAGATGTGACCTTTAGGGAAGACACATTCCCTTTCAGTTATAGAAACAAAACTGCAGCACAGTCCTTATTTGTAGCTCCTACTCTTCATACAGGGATAACACTAGATGTTATACCTGAGACTAGTTTTACAAACAACCTTACAAACAATATGGTTCAACAACAAAATCAAGACTTTTAAGTAGTAGAAACAGATACAAATGTACCTTCACCAATCACAGATGTTCAGGTATACTCTCAACACTTAGAACAAACTATGGCAGATCAACAAATACATCAACATACTCAACCTCAACAAATGATTGTCAGAAAATCAACAAGAGACACTAATCCACCCATATGGATGAAAGACTTTGTATCACTGAATATTCACAGAGATGAACCTTATGCAATAAACAAATATCTAGGATATGATCAACTGTCACCCAAATATCAATCCTATATGAGTGTGTTTTCTTCTGTTATTGAGCCTGCAAACTATTCTGAGGCAGTAAAAGATCCTAGACAGGTGAAAGAAATGAATGAAGAAATAAAGGCACTTGAGAACAACAATACCTGGGAAATTGTCACACTACCAGAAGGTAAGAAACTTATAGGGTGTAAATGGATCTTCAAGATCAAATACAAAGC